TGGCCTATTGAACAATACCCTCAATCATTTCACCATATGTCTTGAGATGACCAAACATGTTATTCTACACAATCAGATGTAAAATATTACTTCCCACATTTTTGTGTAATTGAAATACAGGACAACCTACTGCCCATCTTTGTGTGGTAACATGTCAAATATGTTTGTTTCTTAAATGTATCATATTTCTTTGGCTCAATGGCCAGATGAGTTTGCAAAAATGAGTTGGTGCACATTATCCTCATATTTCCAGACAAGTTTGGAGCTCTGAAATTAATAGAAGTCTCAAACTTGTAACTTATTGTAAGGTGAAACATGAATTAACATGTGAGAAATATCTCACAAATATTGGTCAGTCTTCTGCAATATACAGAAATGCTTTATGTAGATTAAGGATCTCGTCCCATGTACTACAAATTGAAAAGGGTAGGGCCAGTGGTACTCGACGTAACCAGAGGTTGTGTCCTTTTGGCTGTAGTGTAATAAGTTTGTCCCAAATATAACTCCCTGAGGTTGAAGTTTATTGCACAGTATTACTACTCCCCCTACAGAGATAAAGTTTATTTCATTATTTCAGAATCAAACCCCATATATACAATTAAACCTTGGTAAATTTATATTTTATAGTTTTCAAGTACGACAACTTATGCTTGGAGAGAACACTTAATTATGCAAATGTTATGTATTATGATTTTATATTTGTTTCCTTTACTTGTTTCTGCGACCATTCCAATCTAATTTATCATGTATTTATTTGTATCTGTACATAAGGCCAATGGCCACAGTACAAAATAAAGATATTATTATTATTGTCCTGAACTTTAATTTGAATATCTTTATGATATCATAATTGTAATGTCAGTTAATAATCTTAGATTTTTCATATATTTGCAGTGTTCGTTCAGAAACCATCAAACACATACTTGAATTCTTATCCAAAGAAGAAGACAGTTGTAATAAACTGCCAACTTCAACGCAGGCTGCATTGACAGATATGGGCAATCTATTTATTATGGATCAACCAGTAACCATAGATGACTCACACAATTCAGTCTTTCAAGTAAGTATTGCATTGTTTGCAATGGAATAGTCTTGAACCAATGTATATAGCACTGTAATTACAATGTGTAGAAATCTAATTCATAGCTGTAACCATTGATAAACTGCCTCTAAAACATGAAATTAAATTTTGGAGTGTTTCTTAAAGTACATATAGTGTGTTACAGTATTTAATTTTCGCTGCTAGAAATGTTCAGCATTTCATTTGAGAGGAAAAAATTTAGCGAGAGTCACTGACTCTCTGTGTTGTAGCACCACAGAGGATTTTCATGCTACAAAATTTCATGATTTTTACTGACTCGTAATTCATGAAAATTGTTCTCACAATATTAAAGTGCTGCACAGTTGTTCACATACAAGAATGGTTATCCCTTTAATATATATAATTGAAGGACAAATCCAAAAATTATATAGATCTCTTGATAGGGATACTTCATTATGGTAATTTTGTTTACTGTTGTATTGTATTGTATTGTATTTAACAAATGTGTCTACTAACACACCACTGTTATTTGCCTTATATGGCTGCTGTGGTTGTATTAAATAAATAAATTAATTAATTAATTAATTAGTTAATTGATTGATTGATAGATTAATTAATGATGCATCTTGTCTGATTATCTTATTACTAAATCAAATAAATTAGATGTATCATGGAAGTACAGTTTAGAAATAATGCAATCCAAACTTAAAATTGGTAGTTGGAACAGCCAAGGCTTAGGGGAAAAAATGCATGGATGCTGATTTTGTATCAGCAGTTGAAAGTTTTTATATTTTGTGTGTTCAGGAAACATGGTTAGGTAAAAGTAGTAATTTTGTGTTAGATATAGATAATATTTGTAGTTTTAGATCTGATAGAATTAGAAAATTATCCAAAAGTAGAAGAGATTCAGGGGGGGGGGGGGTTGCAATTTTGTTTAAAAATAAATTTAAAAAGGGGTTATCGAAAATTAATTCTGAAAATAATGACTTTCTATGGTGCAAGCTGGACAAGAACCTCCTTTCCTTAGAACAAAGTATTTTTTTAGCTTGTATTTACATTCCACCAGAAAATTCTGTTTACCACTATAACAAAGATTATTTCAGTATTTTGGAAAAAGAAATTGATAGGTTCTCTCATCAGGGTGACATGATCATCATGAGAGATTTTAATAGTAGAATTGGGAATATTGTTGATTTTATTGTTGATGATTCCAATAGTCATGTGCCAACCCCCCAAAACTACATTGCAGATAATTTTAATAGAAGATACACTTTAGATAAAAACACTAACAAATTTGGTAACCATCTTGTAGATCTGTGTGTAAGCAATGACTTGATAATTGTTAATGGCAGGGTAATTGGCGCTTTATTAGGAAATTTTACATATCATCACTCGGCAGGCTCCAGCATTGTAGGCTACTGTTCAGTTTCTAAGAGTCTCTTTCATTGTGTCTGTCACTTTAAGGTATAGATGCAGGTTCGTGGGCACTTGGGAGTGAATTTTTGACTCCCATGTGCGAAGCACAAAATGGGAGTCTTTGCAGTTAGTGTGTCTGTATGTGTGTGTGTGTGTGTGTGTGTGTATGTATGTGTGTATGTGTGTATGTGTGACCGAAACTGTTCCACTGCTATCTCAAGAACCATACATCGGTTTTTGATGAAACTTGGTGCATAAGATGCTCTGGGCCAATGCGCAGATTTGATTAGGTGTTGGTAAAAATCCATGCTCGTT